TCTAATAAATAAAAAAAAATAATAATAAATTAAAAAAAAAAATGCCTGCTTAGGCAGACACATGGGTTGGGAGTTCAATCCCTGGAGAACGCTGGCAGGGTGATTGAGATTGGGCATGGTGGCGTGTACCTGTAATCCCAGCACTTGGGAGGCTCTAAACAAGAGGATCACTATGAGTCCGATCTATGTAGTGACACCCTATAGACCCTGTACTAAATACATTTAAAAAATAAAAATAGATTAGGATGAGGGGCTGGAAGATGGGAAAGGGAATAAGTTGCTGGAATGACAAGTTCTTGGTCAACTGTTTTTATTTTTCCCATTTGGTTTTATGAGACAGGGTCCCACTGTGTAGTTCAGGCTGGTCTAGACTTCACTATGCAGCCCAGGCTGTCCTTCAACTTATCCTCCTTTTTCAGCCTCTTGAGTGCTGGGACTATAGGCATGTGCCACCATGCCTGGCTCTTTGTCAGGTATCACTACTTGGTTTATTGGGCAGTAGAAGGGATATAAGAATGGTATAGGTCAGTTATTTGGATTATATTAGCTGAATGTGAACCTTGCAGAGCATGAGCTGGAGATATGAGCCCTGGGAAAGGGAAGATAGGCTCAGGATGATGGCATATGTACCTATACCTATAGTCCCAGCACCTGGGAAGTTGAGGTAGGAGGATCACATGAGTTCGAAGCCAGTCTAGACTACATCTGAAGACCCTGCCCTTTTTTTTTTTTTTTAAAGATAGGGTCTTGCCATGTAGTTCAGGTTGGTCTTGAACTCAAAGTACCCTCTCATCTCAGCCTCAAATTGAATTCATGAATGAATGAATGAGAATTGGTTGATCATTGGTACTAGAGCAATGTTTCTGAGTGAGGCTGGAGCTCTGGCAAATGAAAACAAGGGATTTTGCAGGGGTTTGCATGGAAGTGTCTAGGGGGGGCACCTCTGGATTTGTGGAGTCCATGAGAGTAACTACTTCTTATAGAGCTGTTCCATGCTCTTTGGTTGACATAATACGATGCCTTGTAAGTATTGTTATGCACATTTTCTAGGTAAGAAAACTAAGGCTCACAGAGGATTATGCATTGGTTCTTAGTTTTGGCTGCCTATTAAAAATATGTGGGGGGACTGGGGAGATGGCTCAGTGGAATAAGCACTTCCCTGGCAAGTGCAAGGATCTGAGTTCAGTCCCAGGTTCCACCAAAAAAATTAAAAAAAAAAAAAATAAAGTACCCATTGTTTCTACTATAGTTACCTCTTTGGGGCTGGGGAGATGGCTCAGTAGAATAAGCGCTTGACTGGCAAACGCAAGGATCTGAGTTCAATCCACGTTTCTGCCCGAAAAAAAAAAAAATGTGGGAAGCCAGGTATGGTGATGCATGCTTATTATTCCAGCTAGGCAGGAGGATCACCAGGAGTATAAGACCATCCTTGGCTATATAGTGAGTTCAAGGCCAGCCTGAACTACATAGGCAGGCCTTGCTTATAAAACAAAAACTGAAAAACAGATTCTCCAGTACCTCTCCACCCCATCCATTTGTTTTGTTTTGTTTGCATTGCTGGAATTTGGATTCCAGGCCTTTTGCATGCAAGGCAAGTGCTGTGCAACTGAGCTACATACCAGCCCTGTATGAGAAATGTTTTTCTCACCAAATTGTAAGCTACAGGAAGTCAGAGGCCAAATCTATTACATTACATTCACTGGTGCCTAACAGATCTCTCAGTAAGTGGCTACTATGGAATGCAGTTCTATGTTGACCTAAGAAATTACAAGCTTGTGTCCAGCCCCATTTCCAAAGTAGGTGTCCCCTGCTGCAGCTTTGTGAAACTTGCCACCCTACTTACTATCTTTAATGTCATTTCTATTTGTCTTGTCTCTCATCTCTTCTTTTCTATCTAAGGTAATTGCTGGCTTCAACCGCCTTCGGCAAGAACAGCGGGGCCTGGCATCTAAAGCCGCTGAGCTGGAGATGGAATTGAATGAGCACAGGTGAGAAAGTCAGAGTAGAACGGGTGGGTGGGTCATTTCGTAACAGAGGCATGCAGTAAGGGTAGGGGTGACATCTGAGGCCCTGCCTTGTCCTTCTGCAGCCTAGTGATCGACACACTGAAAGAGGTAGATGAGACTCGCAAGTGCTTCCGCATGGTTGGAGGTGTGCTTGTGGAGCGGACTGTCAAAGAGGTGCTGCCCGCCTTGGAGAATAACAAGGAGCAG